TGTTTACATCTGGAAGACATTTTTAGAGTGTTTGTTTGTTTTGTGTGCTATGGGTGTGTGCATGATTATTTTATATATTTTATTATTTATTATTTACATTTATTATATTTATATGACAAAATGTGGGTGCAATTTGTGTGTTTCAAAAGTGAAAAAAAGTACACCTAAAGTTCAATATTGTTATTAAAAATGGTCCAAAGAATCAGTACTGTCTAGTTTTGGTTGTGTGTGTTGTTGTTTTTTCACGCTACTGTGTTTTTTGTTTTGTTTTTTGCACTACTGTCACAGAAAGTCAAGCAGAAGTCAGGTGACAGCTTCCTCGAAAAGAATATACCAAACACAGTATCATCTGCAATAATGAAAAATACAGAATCTATTTTGACTCAAAATATCAATTTCTTACATTACATATTTCTTTATAGGAGTTATAAGAGCAACATTTGTGAACAAACAAATGTCAGTGAAAACAATTAAACATTGTACTCATATAAATATATATATATATATAAGCATATTTATGTGCATTCTATACACACAACATAAATCAAATCATTAAAAATAAATAAATAAAGTCGAAAAAGAATTCAATGGCATAGTGACTGGTACTGGATGAAAACACTAGCTTGGAAATGTGACTTTAAATTTAAAGACCAGTAGATGGCAATCTTACCTCATTATGGGTGTACACATATTTGACGCAGCTCCTTGCTTATATTTTCTATTTTTTCTCACCACCATTCTTACTCTACCTGTATAGAGTGGCAGTGGCAGTTAAGTCCTTCCCTGAAGAAGCCGTTCCTTCAGTAAACCTGCTCTGACACGCCTAAGCACAGTCTCAAACAATCTTTCATTGCTACAAAAATATAAACGTTTCAAATAAAATGCTTGTGTTCAATTAAAATAGCTTAATAACTAATAAAAATAATCATGATCATTTCAATGTCTAATGGGTTTTACAACATTTAAATAAATCCTGAAATCCAGTGTTTCATGGCATAATGTCTCTGTTGTTTACTTGAGCTTTACTGGGCGGTGTGTGAGTTGGAGGAAGAGCTGCTCTGACAGCTCAATAAGTCATACATTTTGAGGCCAATGTGCTGAAGTTTTCCGGGTCTTAGTTAGGGAAAGAGGACGAAACATCTACATTTTCAACGCCCATAATTCGTTATATGGGTCAGATAACTGGATTTTATCGAGCTGTTTTGCTAATCGAGAGCGGTCACTGCTGCGTAACACAAAAACAAACGCGTAATTTTCGCTTCATTTAGGGACAGAAAGGCTTGTTTTTACTATGTTTTGTTTATTTTAAGAGCTCATATCGCATGTTAATGGTGATTAAATTATTGATACCACGATGTCAGTGAAGGTAAGTTTTGGCACAACACTGGGATAAACACTACTAATGAAATGACTGTGGCGCATTTGTCTCATACGAACTACAGCCAAACGATAATTAATGTTGCATGTTGTAGACGAAGTTCATCAGTGTACTTTATTAATGGACTGTATTTTAAAGTAAAATTACCACCCGATAAAATAGGGTGTATTACAACAAGAGTTGTATTTCCATGAAACGAATTCTAACAAAATGTTCATTAGTTTAGCTAGAGATTATTTATAGGTGATTTCACTAGTGTTTTGAACTGTATCATACACTGTTTACAAAACCAGTACTGATGCCCTACTTCTAAACGAATTCTATTGAGTCAGGCCTTATCCATGAATCATTTGAACCGGTTCGGTCAATTCATTCAATGACTGACCGGTTCTTGAGTCAAGAAAACATTGACACGTCCAGCTTGTAGTGCTTGAATCAAGGATTTGATTAATGAAGTGAAAAAGTTACTTCAGTATCAGAAATATGTACTGGTAAATATGTAATGTAGCCTACAACATAAGTGTGTGGCATGTTTATGAACACAAAAAAGCATTTAAATGTGCAAAAATGTTTCAGGCAACAGTAAATAGATTAGAAGGACTGTTATTTAATGTTAATCCATTCTATTTAGGTTCTAAATGAATTAAGCTCTGAACTAAACTGGGACAAACAAAGCTAGAATTATGAATGTAGTAGTATAAGTGATAGATTAAGTTTACTTTTTGGAACTGTTCTTCATTTATTTATTTTACAGCATGTAGGCCTATACAACACCAGGGTGTCAGGGATCACGTGTTAAGTTAATTACGTCACAATGTACAGGAATTGCAGGAATCTTTATTATTATTATATAGAGAGATTATTAAAATTAAGTATAGAGCATTTTCAAAACTATTAATACAGGATTCCAAACTGAACACACAGCTAGTTGTTCTTTCAAAACCTGCTGTTCTGCTTTTTGTGGTGTATATGTTTCTACACGGTAAACAAAAAAATAGATTATTGTGACGTTACAAGAGCATGTTCAATCAGAAACTGTAAATGATACTGTAAACATTTTGAAAAGAGTAGTACTTGCACTAGTTCATTGAGCAGTTCTATTGTTTACTACTGTACTGTGCTGCATAGCTGCTCTTCTTAATGAAATGATTTGAATTGATATTGTAGTTGACCTTTTCAGATTGAGGTTAGAGTAATTTAGTCTCTGTTTATCACAGAGTATAATGTAAAAATATTTTATTTGACATTTATTTGTATAAGACTTTATTTGGCGCATCAATTTTCCTCCTCCTGATGTCCACTTTTTTTAATGGGGCCCATGCCCACATTCTTTGGCATTTCTGATGGGCTCTTGTGCACAAAGTCATTGATTGGTACCTCTCATTTGCAGTCTTTCCTGCTCTGTGTTGACTTTGCAAATCAAAACACACACATTTTGAAAGTATATTGTAGACACTCAGTGGTTAGAGTATAAGAAAAATTGCCATTATTACACATATTCATTCATAATTTTGAAACTTTACAAAAGCACAAAATAATCATACATGGGGGGAAAAGTATGATTTGACAATAACCATAAAGATCAGTTAGATTAAATGATTAAAATAGTTAAATTGGTTACATTTATTTAAAAAAGAGAGAGAGAGAAAGAGAGACAGCAGATGCAAATGAAAAGTTTAGCTAATTGTATTATGAAAGGCTGTTACTTAATGTTTGTGTATATGTTACTATTATCTGTTGGGGATTAGTACAAAAAATGTATTAATTTATTAAATTTATTATCATCACTTAAAACTTGCTGTATCTCAAAACCTAGTGATCTGCATTAGTAGTATTCATGGGCATTATATGCAGGTTCTGAGTCATCTAGGTACAAATATACACAAACAGTCAGCTGACTCAAAACCCACCTCAAAATACTGTCTAGGTAGGCACCTCACTAGGTCACAATGAGACAGGCCTTTTGTGTCACCTGTGTCCACCTTGTTGCTGTGAACAGGAATATGGTGCATCCTGTCAGGAATAGAACCCAAGGGAACATGTCATTCAGTGTACAGTGGTTTGGTCAGCATTATCATTCAAGTAAGCACATCCTTTTGATATGGATAAACACTCAGCACACTAAATATGGAAGCTGAGCTTGGTTAGAGGTGGTTTGACACAGAAAACCAGTTTTAATGTTTTGGTTTACATGTTGGCTGTGTTGTGTGATGGCTGGTCATGCGGATGAGCCCTCATATGCGGAAATGAGGCTATAAAATCTTCCAGCATATAGTACGATGAAAAGGTGACACTGGACGAAAAATGTATTTCATTATAATATTTTCATTTGGGACCTGTTTGTTTTATTCTTGGAGCAGATGAGGAAGCTTAACTTTATTTTTATAATGTCATACAGTATAATGTTACACGTGTAACATCTATATACAGAATTGTTAGTCTTTTTCAGTTTCAAAATTAGTTAGTAATAGTTTTAGCCATGCCACACTGAAATATTCATGCAGTTACTGTTCTGTGTTACCCATATGTTTGCTGTGTTCAGGCTCAGGTATTATATGACTTCCCCGCTGAGCCTGGCAACAATGAGCTGTCTGTTCAAGAAGGAGAAATACTCACGGTCACTAACCAGGTGAGGATATACTGAGCTTCAGCATCAGCACTAATGTGGACGTCTATGACATGCGGAGTCCCACAAGGATCAATTCTTGCACCGCTCCTGTTTAGCATGTATATGCTCTCACTAAGTCAAATAATGAAAAAAAAACAAATTGCCTATCACAGCTATGCAGATGACACCCAGATTTGCCTAGCCTTATCTCCAAATGACTACAGCCCCATTGACTCCATCTGCCAATGCACTGATGAAACAGTTGGATGTGCCAGAACTTTCTTCAGTTAAAGAATTCTGCTGCCAGAATTCTGACAAAAACCAGAAAATCTGAGCATATCACACCAGTCCTCAGGTCTTTACACTGGCTTCCAGTTACATTTAGGATTGATTTTATAGTACTTTTACTCGTTTATAAATCACTCAATGGCATAGGACCTAAACTTTAAACATTGCAGATATGCACACTGAATAAATTATAAACCTAACAGACCACTCAGATCATTAGGATCAAGTCAGTTAGAAATACCAAGGGTTCACACAAAACAAGGGGAGTCCGCTTTTAGCTATTATGCCGCCCGCAGTTGGAATCAGCTTCCAGAAGAGATCAGCTGTGCTAAAACATTAGTCACATTTAAATGCAGACTCAAAACTAATGTGTTTAGCTGTGCATTTATTGAATGAGCACTGTTCTATGTCTGAGCTGATTGCACTGTATTTTATGTATAATCTTTTTCTATTTTTAACTGTTTTAAATTCATTTTAAATCAATTTCTAAATAATTTTAAACGTTTTTAAGTTCTCTGTTTTATTGTTGTGATTTTTTTTATGATTATTTTGCTTCCTTTTATGTAAAGCACTTTGAATTATCATTGTGTATGAAATGTGCTATATAAATAAACTTGCCTTGCCTAATGTTTCAAGACAGGCACTTGGCTAAAATGTTATATATGCAGGACCATTCAAATTTATTTTATTTTTTTTAAAGAAATTGATACATTTATTAAGCTACAGTGTATTAAATTGATCAAAGGTGACAGTAAAAACTGCTGTATCACGGTTTCCACAAAACATTGTGGAAGCAGCAAATCAGCATATTAGAATGATTTCTGAAGGATCATGTGACACAGAAGACTGCATTAATGATTGCTGAAAATTCAGCTTTGCCATCACAGAAACAAATTCAATTGTAAAATATATTTTAAAAGAAAATAAATATTTTAAAGGGGTCATCGGATGCAAAATTCGCTTTTCAAGTTGTTTGAACATAAATGTGTATTGGAAGTGTGTGTACACATCCATCCTAAAATGATAAAAATCCACCCAGTCTCCCCTTTCTCAAATCAGGCTGCTCTGAGATTCCTGTCAGAATTACGTAGTTCTGCACAGGCCCCTCCCACGATAGTTGATTGACAGTAGCATTTTACCTTAGACCCGCCCTGAGTGAGCTGTCATCAGTCCGCCATTGTGTCAACTCCGGTGCAGGGGAAGACAAGAATATCTCAGATTAAGCGATTGAGGTGTTCTGTTGTTGGATGTAATAATGAATATAGCAGTCCTCATTTACTCCCGACATCTGAGCCGCTGAAGATGCAGAGGATTAACGTTACTTTCATTTTGAAGGGAATGCGCCAATCCTGATCTGCCTAAATGCGTCTATATTCGCGCGAATCATTCGTGATCCAGCTTCATCAACAGAAGTGAGTATAAGGGATTTTTTATGAATTATGCAAATCGCCTTTCCTAATAACGTGCTAGTTAGTGGCTGAAGTTTACAGTCTGCTCGTCACCCCACGGAAGAGAGGGGCGGGGTCAGCAGAGCTTATTAGCATTTAAAGCAACATGGACTAGAATGGCTTGCTGAAAACAGCTGATTTAGACAGGGTAAAGTGTTTTTTACACAACCATTGAGAAATTTTAACGTATGTATGTTATAGACTTTTCATTAAGACCCTAAAGAATCATATCAACTTGTTGAAAATGGGCATCCGATGGCCCCTTTAAAAGGTAGAATTATTTCATAGAGGTCGACCGATGTATCGGTTTTGCAGATTAATCGGCACCGATAGTTGATTGCTGGAACTATCGGTTATCGACAAAAAAATCCATGCCAATAGTTTTCCGGGTTGCGTCCATTGCTGGAGCGGCTGAGAAGGGTCTGCTGTCATTACACAGTGCGAGAGTGGCCTCTAGTGGTTCAAATCATTGACAGCACATGCTATTTGTTTAGACACGTGATACTGCACGCTGAACAGAGCAGGAAACTTCAGACGCGGATTTTCTGCTACATTTATTTAACTTAAGTATTAAGACTTTTTAACTAAAGACATTCGCATTAGATGCACTTTATTGTAATAGTCATTTGTTTTTTGTAAAAATAAAAATACATTTAAAATTATTATTACTATTTTTTTCTCTCTCTCTCTCTTTTTTTCCCTCAGAAATGTTTTTTATTATTATTATTACTATTTTTTTTTGTGTTCTCCTAAACTCAGCGCTGCGCTTTTATTTTGATTAGATAATCATCAAGTGTTCAAGAATAGAAGCAGTTAAAGTGTGAGAGTATACATAAAATATCCATATGTATATAGTTTTAATGCTATAGCCTTTGTGTATATATTTAAAGATGTGCATCTTTAAACATGACAGTTGAAATGAAATGGTAACACTTTAAAATAAGAGTCCATTTGTAGCATTAAGATTAATGAAAGCTGTGTAAGTATTGTTCCTTGTTAGAGTGTTAATTTCAACATTTACTATTACTATTATTATTATATATTTTTTACTACTACTACTAGTATGGTTCAGTACTGTTTTTCTTCAGTATCAATTTTAAAACTATCGGTTAATTAATCGGTATCGGCCAGTGTGGTCCAACCTAGCTATCGGTATCGGCAAAATCCACTATCGGTCGACCTCTAGTATTTCACAATATTACTGGTTTTACTGTTACTGTTGGTATTTGTAACGCAGCCTTGGTGAGACTTCATTCAAAAATCTTACAGATCCCAAACTTTTAAATTATATATATATATAATTTCCCTCTCTGTTTTTCTTTATTTTATGTAGAATGTAGGCGGTGGCTGGGTAGAGGCTCGGAATTCCAGAGGAAATGTAGGCCTGGTGCCCGAGGACTATATTGAGGTAAAAAATACCCTAATCATTTGCTTTGTTTTCGATTTCACTTCTTTGTACAGAGCATTAGATGAAATTGGAACATTTTCACTATTTAGTGAAACATTAGATTATTTTTAGAACTCTAGAGAGGGGAAGGACAAAGTGAAAGCAAACTTCTGATTATATAGACCACATCAGTGAGCAGAGTGTTATTCTGTTTGCTGAGCTGATATACTAAAACTTTTCCAGTTTTTTTTTTTTTTAGGTTTTCTTGTGTTTTTCCAGTAGTATCACATCATTGAAATCATTGAATGTGTGTGTTTCTTGAGTTGTATCATAATTAGAAGATACAAAAAGTAACATCAAATGTCTTTTCATTAAGACCCTAAAGAATCATATCAACTTGTTGAAAATGGGCATCCGATGGCCCCTTTAAAAGGTAGAATTATTTCATAGAGGTCGACCGATGTATCGGTTTTGCAGATTAATCGGCACCGATAGTTGATTGCTGGAACTATCGGTTATCGACAAAAAAATCCATGCCAATAGTTTTCCGGGTTGCGTCCATTGCTGGAGCGGCTGAGAAGGGTCTGCTGTCATTACACAGTGCGAGAGTGGCCTCTAGTGGTTCAAATCATTGACAGCACATGCTATTTGTTTAGACACGTGATACTGCACGCTGAACAGAGCAGGAAACTTCAGACGCGGATTTTCTGCTACATTTATTTAACTTAAGTATTAAGACTTTTTAACTAAAGACATTCGCATTAGATGCACTTTATTGTAATAGTCATTTGTTTTTTGTAAAAATAAAAATACATTTAAAATTATTATTACTATTTTTTTCTCTCTCTCTCTCTTTTTTTCCCTCAGAAATGTTTTTTATTATTATTATTACTATTTTTTTTTGTGTTCTCCTAAACTCAGCGCTGCGCTTTTATTTTGATTAGATAATCATCAAGTGTTCAAGAATAGAAGCAGTTAAAGTGTGAGAGTATACATAAAATATCCATATGTATATAGTTTTAATGCTATAGCCTTTGTGTATATATTTAAAGATGTGCATCTTTAAACATGACAGTTGAAATGAAATGGTAACACTTTAAAATAAGAGTCCATTTGTAGCATTAAGATTAATGAAAGCTGTGTAAGTATTGTTCCTTGTTAGAGTGTTAATTTCAACATTTACTATTACTATTATTATTATATATTTTTTACTACTACTACTAGTATGGTTCAGTACTGTTTTTCTTCAGTATCAATTTTAAAACTATCGGTTAATTAATCG